TGTAAATATTAGCAGCAAAAAATGGGGTCCATGAGACACAAAAACATCCAAACAATATGCTTATTGTACGTGCGACTCGAAACTCCACTTTAATATTATCGAAACTTTGTGAATGTGTACGTCTTAGTATATGGAATCTACGTCTTCTCACAATCAAATATAGTTTGATGTTCATAACTATATTGAATATAAGTGGTATGTAGAAACTCACTATAGATCCAACAAGAGCCAGTGTGAAGTCAACTCCAGGTAAGCAGAGAGAGTCCTGAGGATTTAGAGTACTCAGTAAATATCCCTCTATAAACGGGAGTGTCCACAATAATAGTATAAGAAATACAACAACCTTCCGCGTCATGATCTGGAAATATTTTAACGGTTTGCTGATAGCTATGAAGCGGTCAGTAGTCATGCAAGTAAAATGTAATATAGATGAGGTGGAACACATAATGTCCAGTAGCAGTGTAATACGGGTAATCATTCTGTCATGTAGGAACCAGGCATGGCTAAGATGACGAAGTATTGAAGGTATCATAACAAAAACGGCTATAACCATGTCAGCAACCGCCAAGGATATGAAAAACACATTGATTTTCCGTGTAAAATTCTTCTTTCGGATCAAAGTGATCATCACCAAAGTATTTCCACATAAAGCCAAGATAACTAATCCAAAGAGACAAACTGCAATGAATATCTTCAACCAAATCAGATCAGTGAACAAGTCATTTCCTCCGCACACTAAATCATTCTCTGTCAAGGAATCATTCATATTTTTTAAAATCTCTATGATTATGTTTTTGAAAGGCAAAAAAAAAGAGTGTAACAATTTTAACGATGAAACGAATATAAAATCCCATTCGGCATTATATTATTGATGAAAATTTCAGTCATCACTACCTTTAAAATTCGGTTCACCTGATTCCTCAATGCATTTTTTATTCATTAATATTGAGCATGGAAACCATTGGAGCGATATCATAAGGTATGTTTGTAGGTCATAAACAATTTTTCGATGTCGCTGCGAATTTCATTTTTGGGTAAACAATTTTTAAAAGACTTGTACTTTTAACAGAACTTTTGAATGGGATATACGATAGGCTACAATATAAACTATATCATCACATGTCGTTATAATATGAATCATTTTAATCTTCTTGAAATACTGAAATATATGACAAGTTTTTAAGGAAATGTTTATTCAACTTTAGCATTGAACCGAGAGTTGCATTGATAAAATCATGTCTTTGGTCAAATGAAAAGATTTCGTTACCATGCTTTGTAAATTCAACTCATTCTATATGTAACCACTCAATAATGCTGTTCAAATACATGTATAATTTATAAAATCAAATATTCTCATTATTTATTTATCTTGAGTTTTTAGAAACTCCAGAAGTGTTATTCTCCTTTTAAATATTTAATATTTTAAACTATAAATGATCAATTGGTTTGCAATATGGCAGAATTACTAGTATTCAACAAGTTATCCTCCAAACCCATATTGTCCCTCAAAACCTTTCCTTTTCTACAAAATAAAGTCTTTATAGAATATCATTTTTAAAATGTGATTTATATCAAAATATGCAATTTGCTTGATTCAAAATAATCATTTAAAAGGAAATGCGTCATCGCGACTTTTTTATAGTCGCGACTAAATGTCCCTCAGGAAATCTTAATATACTATCTTAAGTTATGTACCTTTGAGTTATCCTGGTGCAATGTTTCAAATGCTTCTGAAAATAGACTTTCATTTTGACTCGCCTTTTATGTTATAAATCAACTGAATAGAGCTGAACCAAAATTTACAACTATCATGTTGTGAATTTATGTATTTTCTTGCATCCCATGAATAAAAAAAAATTGCAGCACAAAATAATTCAGTTGGACTTCCTCAAAAACATGCTTATAGACAACAAACGAACAAATGCATCTTATTGAATTCCATTCACACTTTTCTGCAATATTCAAAGCGTGTCCTTTTATTCAAGGTATACATTGTGAAAAGACCCCTTAAGATAATAGCGTATTGTAGTGATATGAGACAAAAAATATAAACATATATTTACAAAGATATTAACTTTTGGGAAGCAATATTTTTCTTAAGGGCAAGGAAACAGTCTTGTTTAAATGTTTACTTTCAGAATTCATATACAAAAGAAGATTTTGTTTTAGTCATGGCGACCTCCTGTGTTGAAGTCAAAACCCAATTCACAGAATCATGCATTTTAGTGTAGTCTTGTCCTGTTCCAAGTAAATTAGAATTAAATAATGAAACAACCAAACCAGCGAAATATTTGAAAGAATGTGATTTCTGATATAAAGATAATTAATAGTTTTCATGCAGATTGTTTCAATGAAATGACATAAAATTCTATAATCATAGAATTATACATGCCTTTGGAAAAAATTGGAATACTGCGCATTTAGATGATTGAAAACTCTTCTAAAAAATTCTCATATATTTTCTCCTCATTTTTGGACGTTACCCAAGTAGACTATTATAACAGGGTGAATATTAATATAGGAAGCAAAATGATAGCGATGGAGAATAATATGATAAACAATATAGGACAATAAACTTCAAAATTTATTCCTTGCTTTTAAATTTTGATATCAAAGGAAACGAAAATTACGGAAAACAAGCCATAAACAATAACGAACTTAATCAACTGTTGGGCCTTTAACGTTGATCAATAACAAGCACTGATTTTTGTTTTTTTAAATAGTTTGAAGGAACACTTCTTTTTACTTTCTCTCATTATGACCTCATTCTATAACCTATATTTCCGATGTATTATTTCTAGCTTCACAAAATCATTTTATTTTTATTTTCGTTCATATTGCACCAATTTAGTAATTTTTTTGAACAATAGGCATAAATACTTTTGAATGACAACTTGGAATATTGTTTCACATTTCTTTTCCTTACGTTTTAGAGTAAGTGTTGAACGTGAATCATGGCTGAAAATGATATATTAGCAGGAATGGAATGTTTTCAATTGATGTAAGTAAATAATGAAGTAAAGGGGGACAGGGTATCTTTAAAAAATGCCCGATTATATAATTCATATACCGATAAATTGTCCTCTAACCGTCTCATTGGAGATGTTATGTGGAGATTATTTGCACAATGCAGTATACTTTCCCGATTTCCTAACAGTAATAAAAATATCAGTATTATTATACAGAAATCATTTTTTAATTCCTTGCTTGAAAAAGGTCAAGTAAATGCGTTTTTGATACGATTAAACGGTTAATCGGTTAGAACGCCTTGCGTTTAACTGATTAGCAATTCCCTATTCGATTGCCATCCCTATATACTAGTATAAAATTCAAATTCCTTGATAGTATGTAAATTTAAAAGAAAAATGTTAGGAACGCTTTTAAGGAAGAAATATTAGGTGAATACATTCTGGATGAACTTGATGATGGACAACTACTGGTAATTCAGGTCGCTTTATTAACTATATATGATAAAGAATGGAATCGATTTTGTTTGATGAATGTGAATTGGCTGAGAAATGGTCGAAATAGAATTGATCTGTATCAATTATGCGTAAGTATAATTTGCCGATGAAGACAACAAGACCCAGAGGGAAAAAACTTTATAATATGATTTTCCAGGCATGGTCCAACAAGTTCAAAGGGTTCAAGACACACGTGGATTGACTGACTGTATATTGTTTTACGTCCCATTTAAGAATATTTCACTTCTATAGAGACGTCACCATATACCCGTGAAGGTCTTCAAATTAGGACCTTTATTCGACACTCTGGGCCATTTAGCAGTCAGGGATCCTTATGGCCCTAACGCCTACCGTGAAACGGGGCCTCGGTTTTTAAGATCTCATCCGAAAGACCCGCAACTTTCACTTCAAAGTGCCGAACGCCAAGCCAAGGAACAGTTGCTTTACTCTTTTTAATCAACTTAGGTCTGTCGCGGCCGCGGCTTGAACCTTCCATTCACAGAACGAGCGTTCCTCCGACTAAGCTATACGTGACTGTCTTGGAAAGGATATGTATGTTACAAAATTAATATTGTTTTAGAAATTGGGTGGCTAACATTTAGACCCTTGGTGAATCATTGTCAATATCCCCTGCTTTTTCATTGGCTATTAACTATTAACTGTTTGTTGCTTAACAAAAATTGACATAAAATAACCAGCAATAAAGTTCATATCTAATAGTTTAAGCGTATTAGTGGAAAATTAAATTGTTAATTTAGTATATTAACATTTATGACTCGATAAATATGAAACATTCTCGTGCCATTAATTTGAAATGTCCTACACACCTATGCAAAAAATAAATAAATAAATAATGCCTAATTTACTAATTTTGATATGTATGGTTTCCTTTCCTTATCCTATGGGCAACGTCAAAAGACAATTGTAAGGGCATTTTTTGTCTTTATTTGTGAATGTCAACTGGCTGGTAGATGTTCAAAAGCCTTTTTTCCGCAGAGAAAAGTAAATTGATATCCCAGTTAAAAGGTAATATTTTTTTTTACATATGTACGTTTTGCCACATGTATATATGCATGTACATGTAAACTTTGTTGAAATATGTAAAATCAAGGTTAATTACTCAATCCTTCTTTAACTTTATATTCCATTCTTCACGTACAAAACTTGTAATGAAGAGCAAAAATTAAAAAAAATCTACTAATATTCTATGTATAGACCAACTTCGACATATTGAACATATTGAATGTAGTCGTAAAATAGATTTCATATTTTAAGACGCGTTAAATTGTAGATTTGTCTAAATCTGAGAGGCTTATGAAAAGTTTTGCTAGATTCCAATAATAGGAAAAAAGGTAGTAGTATGTAAGAATTAACTATAATTATAGGTAAAACAAATAGAAATTTAAAAGATAATAAATATAAATTTTAAAGAGTATTTAAAAAAATATTGCTGTATTTATGTGAAAATGAAAGGATGGGTTGTAAATTGATTAACATACAGAATAGGTTTATTTACCTTATTTTATTTTGAATATTTCAGGGGGAAAACGAGCCTAGGAGAAGAAAACCCATTGAAGAGGAGGGTGGCACAGTTTGTTCTGCAAGCTGAAAATCAAGTAAAGCAATCCAGAATCAATACAGGTTGATTATTTTCAAAGGTCAACCGAAGGAATTGAAAGATCGCAGACAACCTGCAACTCCAATTATATCGTATTAAATATAAATTATTCGAAATTGGTTTAGGATATATTTGGTATGACCAAGATAGAATTAGTTGTAACAGCCATTTTTTACTTATAAAGCAAAGAATTATTGACACTTTCGTATAGAATCTCCTTGCAGATATCAATAATTCATCTAGATGTATGCTATTTCAGAACATTATTGACCACTTTACACTGCAAAATTATTTGGTAAAACCTATTTCTAGCATTTATAAAAACAGATAATTAAGATAAGACTGTCATCACATAATTTAGCAATTGAAAGTGGACGACATAAAAATATCCCACGAGAAAACCGAATATGTAAACTTTGTAGATCTGAAATTGAAGACGAATTCCGTTTTGTTTTAAAATCTCCACGATATATGGACTTAGGTGTAAAATATATTTTTAAAAATACTGGGAAGACCCATCTATGTTTAAATTCATACAATTATTATGTGCAAACAATGTAAAGAACTTTGTAATTTTGGAAAATTTCTGTATCATGCTTTTAAAATGCGTAATGAATGTCATACTGTATTATAAACATTTTTTTTTAAATTTTGTATATTCTCCACAATGAATTACTGATTGTACGAGGGGTGATCAAAAAGTTCGCGAACTAATTGAATAAATTCTTTAAAAGAAATAAAATGAGGTTTCAGTGTTTATTATTTTCTAAAGTAGTCCTCTCCGATTTTAAAGCACATCTGCCATTGTTTTGCCCATGCGCGACTCACGTGATCCAGGCAGTCACGTGACCTGCTCTGTAGCAGTCTGTTCACAGAAGCTAAAAGAATTTTCCGAGTCTTATAGTTCTTACCGTGCAAATTATTTTTCATAACAAGAACAGTCTATCTGTCAGAAATGGCCAAATCTCGGCAATAGGATGGGTGGATAAGGATATCCCTTCCCACAATTAGTATGGTGACCCATCACAACCCGAGTTCTCTGTCTCGGGAGAGTCGTTTATCCAATGTGGATAAACTGTGGGCGCCTTCTTTTTATCATATCTCATATGTTTAAAGTCTAAAGTAACCGATATTTTAGGGATTTAATAATTATATTATTGTTAAGATATTCAACTATTTTGTAATTGTTACTTGACGATGTTTTATAACAAATTGCTCAACTAAGGACACATCTTTTCCCCGGCTTGCTTTCGCTTGACAACAGAACAAACATCAGTTTTAACCATCTCCCTGTCTTCACTTGAACAATCAATCCAATTAATGATTGAACTTCTGGTAAGTCTTTTGTCTTCATAAACCTTGTACAAATTATCATATTCTACTGCAAAGGAATTTCCAAGATATAAGTTAAACTTTACAGCCGTTCGTTGTTCGAGTACGACTGAATCAACCATTTTTTGTCACAAGTGACCTACATATTGACGTCATTTTCACATTGTGACGTCACAAACACGGAGCAAAACATTATTTAACATCTGTTATATATAGAACATGTGTATGTCTATATGTGTGCCAAATTTCATTCTGATGTGAATTGTTGTTTTGTAAATACAGCAATAGTTCGCAAACTTTTTGATCACCCCTCGTATTATTATTGTGCTAAATGTACCTTAACACCTGCGCTATGCCTTACTATTTATATGTTATTAACTTGCATTGTATACAATAAGATGTAAGTCTTACGCAATAATGTGAATATGAATATGAACTCAGCTATCCTCCCAAATTACATGCTGATCCCTAGGCAAATTAAATGCATATTAAGAACAATTATGAGACAATATTTTAATTTTATATGTGCCTGTTATATGTGTTTTACACATTCTTACATCATAGATCATGTAAAATTATAAGTAAAATGAAAAAAAAAATGCCTCTTCTCTTTTCAAATTACTTGAAGGCATGAAATTAGGGGTGTTTTTTTTTTTTTTTTTTTTTTTTTTTTTTTTTTTTTTTTAATGTTTTTGTTTTTTTGTTTTGATTTTTTTTGTTTGTTTGTTTTTGAAAAAACATGAAAATAAAAGCTCTAATTCATTTCTTAAATTCATATCAGTGTGAAAAAAATTATGATTAATCTCGAGCGGCACTGAAAATTGCATGAAAGACTTATCTATACATTTATATGAGAGTAGGTGGACTTACTTTTAAGATAAAAATTATTTCAGCCCCTTTTTCAGAATTTAACACAATAGGAAAAAATTTGAATTATCAAGGATCATTTGTCCTCACCATAAAATTGTCATCAGTTGATGGTATATGTATCATTTTTGGAGTTCATATGTCCCATGTATGAAAATAAAAGAAATTAATTATTTAAAAACAAAATCTTGTTTCAGATACTCTGGCAAAGTTCTTAAAAATCCTTCAAGTTTTATGGGTTGATAAAAAAGGTCTTTTTAATTAACTGACATTTTCGAAAATTGTCAATTCGTGAAAGTTTAAGTTCGTTCATATGAACAAGTAAACATACAAAAAAGTACAAGCAATACTGTAGAAAGAACACAGTTTTTGATTCTGCCTATAAGTCAATTGTTTTAGTTTAGACAACCAGCATTATCGATGTTCTGACGACGAACGTAAATTGGACAGTAAGAAGGAATTTTAATTAGGCACACTGTTAGGATAATAGTTAAGACACAATAATGGCTCAGAGACGTGAGTTTCACTGCTGGTAACATAATGTGCCTTCTTGTTAAACAATTTATGGCTCATTTGGAGTTAATTAAGAAATGGGTACATTGACATGAACTCGTCATTATTAGTTTTTCGAGAGTCTACATGTTACAATGTCTTACTTTGCAATACTATGTTTTTTTTTCCGCTAACAAACATTTCCACAAGTGCTCAAGTGATTTCTTTAAAGATCAAGTTGTTAAAGTATCATGACCCCAAGGTCATTTTTACTCTTAAAGCAAATTATTTCATGCGTAATTGATGGGGTTTCTTTTCATTCCATTGATAAAATATTCTTTTATACAAATTCATGCTACTGGGTCTATTCCTAATCATGTCTAATTAATCAATAAAACAATCCAGATCCACAAAGGTTGATTATTTTCAAAGTTCAACCGAAGGTATTTAAAGATCGCAGACCTCCTGCAATTCAGCTATCCTCCCAAATTACACGCTGATCCCTAGGCAAATTACATTCCAACCCCAACACAAGGATAACAATATAAAAATAATCATAGATCTCCATAGATGAATGAATCAGTCACAGAATCTAATCATTATTCCCCATTGCGCAAGTTTAACGGTTGGAAATATCTTGCAGACAGACAAGAAAAAATACTGGGCGAACAGACAGATATTGTTAAAAAGATAACTCATTTCCAACTTCTTTGGAATATATGAAAATTACAAATAAACTGCAATATTTGTCAACTTTGAGGCTGTTGTTCTTTATTCCAATAATCAGATTTTAAAGCTTATCCAAAGACATCCCTGTAGTTCTAATGTAAAAACTGAGCAAGCTGTTTGGAATTCTATATTACATTTGAAGGTCTATAAAATTTCGTTCAATTAGCCGAAGCTTTAATTTAAATCACAAACTGGCTAATGTATTTTTTCTCCTCAAAATTCTCAACATGCCAGCCGCGCATATTTCTTAAAATATCTTTACATTATACTTTTATAATATATCCACCTTTGAAGAAAGTATTAAGCTATATTTATTTTCATGAATCTCGATAATTATAGAACCTTTCCCTTAGTTTGTTAATTTATCATATTTTCATAATGATCGGCTTTTTTATTCTATATTTATAAAGTTTCCCTTGTTTTCTTTTTAATATTATGAATGGAAAATAAAAGTTGTATTGAATTACTCTAATTTATATATATATATATATATATATATATATATATATATATATATATATATATATATATATATATATATATATATATATATATATATATATATATATATAGAAAGCACAAAGAAATTCACTTTTTACAATGATACCCACTTCCGCCCCAGCCCGGGGTTGAACTCTCGACCTACGGAATCTGTCTCCTAGCAGTACAGGAACAGCGCGCTAGACCGCTCGGCTATCTAGGCAAGTCGAAAAACTTTCGATGCCGATGGAATTCTCGCGGCGCTGTCCTACACTACACGGTCATTGAGAATGGAAGTGAAATACAGTTATTTGGACACTTAGGGCAGTTATGTTAGTTTAAGAGTCGTTGTTAAATGTGCTTTATATAATATAATATAATATAATATAATATAATATAATATAATATAATATAATATAATATAATATAATATAAAAACTAATTTTTGTAGTAAAACGTTTAAAATTTAGAACACATTAATGAAGAATTTATTGCAACGATATCTTTTGCACAATAATGTCTTTGAAAAAAAAACTTATTTGTCATTTGAAAATTAAAACGAACAATCACACCATTCAAAGTTCATTGTTAACAAACCAAAATTAATGTTAACGTTGCAATTATTCTAAATTCTCGCTTAGAAAGTTTTCTTCCTACTCTAAAAACTGTAATTCTCTGCATTTCCAGAACTTTGACAGAGTTCTAGAGATAAAGAAACATTGATCACAAAAATTATGTAACCTTTTTATCAAGCGGAAGTTGAAATGTGTATATAAAGCGTCATGGTGTCTGAAACATGGATTTTTATTTCCGATAAAAAGTTCATAATGAAAAAGCTTCTGAAAATTTTGAGTTCAGAAGATCTACCAGTATGTGTATACTAGCATACTATTTTTTGTTTACTTTTTGTTTTCAAAATTTTATTCATCTTCGGTATCGGTACCAAATTTTGATGTTCATTCATTTGTTAATGAGAAGCCCAATAAGAAATTGTCCCAAGGTCATCAGATAGATATGATATATACATTTATCAGTTTCAAACTGTTCTACAGGAAATGTTTGAACTGGGTTTTTTTTTTCTTACCTTAGAGTTAAAACATACTATATGTAACATTAAACTTCTATTTATTTTTATTGCAAAAAACAAGTACAGTACCTGCAATTGGCCATAAGCGAGTCATAATTTTAGTTTTCCACTATAAATTTCATTGAAAAATGCATCTTTCTAAAATATTACTGCAGTGTTATTTGTTGTTCATTTTTTATGACTGAAACAGCATAAAATGTAGAACTCTTTGCAATTTCTTCACATAATTTCAAAATAATTTTATATATACGCATTGCGGTAATATCACATGTCAAATGCGAAATAAAAATTTTAAGGCTCTAATTTGTTAAGAAATCATAGTAAGTTGAGGTTATAAATTTTTATCTTGATAATTTCATATTATACTCAATGATTACTATATCATTTTTTTAGCATTTAAAGACAATAAAATTTTAACAATTCTGCATGACTCGGTGAAAAAGTCATGGAAATTAGGCTAAAATCGACCTTTCGATCAGTTTTTATAAAAAATTATTCTTTCAATGAAATATATAGTGTAATAATGCAAATATGACTCACTTATAGCTATATACTGTATGTAGCAAATTTAAGCTATGTAAGTTACACGTTCTTAAAATTACATATATTCTTACTGATGATTCAAGTTACTCTAAAACACAATCGGTTAAATAAAAAGGTTAGATTTTTCAAAAGTTAAATTAAAAAAAAAAAAAAAGTTATATGTAACAATCAAGTATTTAAGGTATGTAATCAGCATATATTTATATATTTTTAGATTTAGAATATTTCCAAATATTAGACACTACACCTAGAAGAAGGAAAAAAAATTCTAAATTTTCAAAACAATTTTACTCTTGTGATTCTTGGGGAATGAATACAATGAACCATTGAGAAACTGATATGAATTTAAGAAATGTGTTATATTGTAATTTTTGAATTTACCGGGTGGTAGTAAATACAAAAATTACACATATTGTAATTTTTGTATTTACTACCACCCGGTAAATTCAAAAATTACAATATGACAAATGAAAAAAAGCTTTTATTTTCATGTTAGTATTAAGTCTGAAATCACTATTTCATTATATAAGCTGACTATAAAGAAAATATAATAGAGACCTTTTCGTCATTAATTTACTGATGTTGATGTTGTCATTATTTTTTATTGTGTAAGTTATTTATTTATTCATTTATCATGACAAGGAGCATACGGCGGGTGTGACCTGTCGGCAGGGAATGCTCACTCCTCCATGGCACCTGATCCTATCTCTGATGTTTTGGAGGTCTCTGTTTGCTCTGCTTCCGATTTGTATTGTTTTAATGGACTTTGAGCTTAAATGCTGTTTCGTTATCTCCATATTTCATTATTCATTTCTGGGGATTTTTGTCAAAATCATTCAACAGTTACGACATACCTTTGCTATCTGCATGTACATGTACGAGTATATAGGCTTAGGCCGTGATTAAAATCCAAAAAGTCATTTCTCAAAATTATCCATGTTTGTAGGGTGCACACATGTATTCCATTTCCCCATACTGACATTAAGTTTCCAAAATTAAATGAAGAAAAGATCATTTAGGTACCATCAATAATAATTTAACGTGTTTTAGTTCAAGCACGTGACTTTTTTTAACTTATTGATTACACTCTTTTGCAAAAATATTTCCAAAAATAATTACTGATCAATTTCTGTAATTAAAAAAAAAACAAAACAAATTTTACATACATTTTATTCCTTAAAACAACATACAACAAAGTGATCTAGACAGCATTGTTGTTTGTCAAAGAATAAATTTTTCTCCTCGGTGGAATAAGGCTTAAAATTTGCATTTTATTTTTTATGCATTTTAAAGACGCTTTTTGTCTTTTCTCCTTAGATTTTCGATTTAAGAAGTAGTATAAGTAAGGGTTGACTGTAGAATTAATATAACCTAACCACGTGATCACTACCCAAGCTCCTTCGTGTAATTCATAAGCAAACAGAGGTTCCAAAATGTTCACAGTAAAAAATGGAAGCCAACACATGAGAAAACATCCTAAAAGTATAGCAATCGTCCGCGCGACTTTCACTTCCTTCTGTATTTGTTGTTCCCGGTGAACATCTTTGACATAGTTGGAGGTGAGTTCATGGAGTTTCCTTCCTCTACTTTTTATGAATCTGAATATTTTTACGTTGCAGAAAATCATGAATATGACGGGTAAATAAAAGGAAGCAACTGATGCAATAATGGCACCGAGAGCATTCACTCTTAATATAGGCGTTATGCGACAGTTCTCTGAACGGACACTAATTTGGTTAAACTTGATCATCATAAGACTAAAAGAAATCAAAACAGGCAAAAACCAACACAGAAAAAGCAGACATGATACTCTTCTTTTCTTCATTATTTGATAGTACTTAAATGGCTTCGTAACCGCCACGTAACGATCAACCGTCATACACGTTAGATGCAGAATCGACGTTGTTGTGAACAGTACGTCTAGTCCCCAGTACATTAAGTACGTTGTATTGTGGTGCAACCAATCAAAATCACTGCACAAATGTAAAATAGAGAACGACATTACAAAAATGGCGACAGAAAGGTCGGCGACAGCCAAAGAAATTACAAAAAGATTGGTTCTTTGTTTGTATTGATGACGTTTTGTCACTACTTTAATGACAAGTACATTTCCAAAAATAGTTAGTCCAAGGACAGATGATAGTATCACAATAACTGGAATACGAAAAGCATTACCAGATAGTACTCCTCTCGCCTGAGTGCCATTACACAACACTGTTGCGTCTGGCAACACGGTGCCATTATGAAGATGCAGCAACATCACGTCTAAATACATTCATGCAGACAATAGATGACAAACACAACAGGTAATTCAAATATTAATGTTGCGGTTTCCCTTCCAATAGAAATTGCTTATCCTTGTTATCACTTGCTTGTTCTTTTTGCAAAATGTGATGTTCAACAAATTCCTTATCACTTACTGCTGACAGAAGAAGCAATATATGTTGTATAAAATGGCAATATAATCTTTTAAACTGGCTCTATTGATAAGCTACGAAATCCAGTAAGACTCCAACAAATGTAAATCACTCTGCAAACTTTAGGGGAAAAAATTACAATTGCAATTCGACACACCGCTTGATTCTTTTTTATTTCTGGAGCATCTCTCGCGTAATAAAATTAAAATCCAGTGGGGTTTTGCAGAAATGGTGCTTTTAACTGCTGCTCAGACACCGTAGAGTATGAAATATCAGTCGTTGCTAATTATTAAAACCTCGTCAAAGAACAGCTCCCTAAAATTCTTTTAGATGTTTCCTTTTCAACTCACATAGATAACGGACCGCCATGAAAATGCAAACAAATATTTTTTGTGATTTAAAGAGACAGTTTTTGGTCAAATTCTCTGACCACCAAGTTCAAATTGAGGTAACTGTGTACTGGCGGTATTAGATTAGCACTGTAGTATATTCAGCAGCCCATGGGACAGGACCCGAATAAAATTCATTATAAATTCAATCCAGATAATACTGAATAGTAATTCCACAATGGTCCAAAGTTCACATAGATTACACTGAACAATATTTCCTCAAAGGCCCTAAGTACACTTTGTTTATGATGCTGACAATTGGAGTTTTCGTTTATCCTTCGATAAAATCATCAATCTTTAACGAATTAGTTAGCAGCTCTCCTTTTATGTAGCACTACCTGTCCTTTTAATACTGTAATAATCCAATCACAGAGCCGAATATTTTCCCTTCAGTAGCCTGAACCTAGTCACCGCATCTCTAAATTAAAAATAATTAAGACTCCACTTCATCACTGATTAGGTAACAAAGCCAGGATCCCACCATGAGAGAGTGAGCTGTCTTTGAAGTATTTTCAGTGTCTTGTTCGTGCGTATAAAACCGTCTGTCTCACTTTACTATAAGAGACACTCCATACAGGACCCAGCGGAATCCGCCATTATCCTGATTTAATAAATGTAAATAGTTTACATAGGTAAATATATCATGGTATTCAACTGATAGACTTTGTTTTGTAAATAGATGCATGCGTAAATGAAACGCCTGGAAATAAATTGTGAAGTTAACAAGAGAAAGTTTAATTGCAATCCCAGAGTGGTTTTTTTCTGAATGGAAATAAATAGAATTCTCATGTGTTTAAAATATTGAATTGATGCTGTTTCATTTTGTTTTGTAAATTATGTTTTTCATAACAATTAAAGTTTTGGCATTAGGATTGGAAATTCGGTCAATATTCATCAACCAGCTAACACTTGTGATGTTGGTCAAATACTCAACTAACAAGAAAAATAAGACTCTTTTTTATCAAACTCTACAAAAAATATTATGATAAAATATACTGGAAGTGTATATGTATATTGTTGTTAGCACAAAAGCAAAATAGAATATTTGAATTCAAAGTATGGACGTTTATGTTGAAGAAGACATGAAATTTGTACAGTGACTTCAGAAAGAAATATCTGTAGAGCACAAAGAGTACTTTGTTGATGACACGACAAACGCCCCATTTTACAAGTACACATTTTTTAAATATTCTCATGTAAATACATCGTTTATTAAAGGTTTCGCCAAGCGAGAATAGGTGCAAGTTACTCACACAAAAAGCATCATGTTTGTTTTTCCATGTTTGCCTCCATGTTTTTTTTCTCAGAAGCTCGTGGTTCAATCTGGTTCGTAACGAAATCTAATAACTGTGTTAAGCCTGTGTTCTAAGTACACGGCCTCTGATTAAGGCGTGTATTTCGATATGGATTTTAGATATTGATAAAAACAATTAAGAAGATCTTTTAAAATGATGTATGAATTAAATTGTTTATTAAAGTCTTTCTATAGAATCATACTTAAGTTTTAAAATTATATACTCTTGTGGTTTTCGATTTAAGATTCCTTCTATTAAATGACATAATTTTAACTAAATGAAATAGGTGAAGAAAACGAACAGTGATTGATCTCAAAAAACCTACTAACAATACAAATCTGTGAGCAGGGCATAAAACACTGGAAATTCCAGAGGTGGGATCAGGTGCCTAGGAAGAGTAAGCATCCCCTGTCGACCGGACACACCCGCCATGAGCTCTATGTATTGATCAGGTAGTCGGAGTGATCCTTAGTAACAGAATTGTAGAAAATTTCAAATTGACTGAAAACGCCTCTCCAAATGTAGGAATATATCTCGATCCCACTAAATATCATATTTATTTTGACCGTAATCTTAAGAGTTCAATGACAAGACAGATGATGTGCCAAAACTAAGGACTAGAGTGCTAAGGTGTTTAAAACTGCAATAACACACCAAGAGTACAGAATACTAGCTACTCTATTATAACCTTTTATGCTCAAGCAGCTATATTTTCCTCTAAGAAGTTTTGACTAGCATGTTGATATATCAAAAAAAGTAAGTATATGAGAAAATGTTTTAAAGTATTATGGTATATTAAAGCATTTTCTCAATGTAAGAACAATGGTGTGAATAGATTTAATAGATTAAATAATATTCCCTGTATTTTTAAAAAGTCATATTCCATATGATCATATATACATAACAGTACATCAATCGCCGGAAAAAATGAGCTAAAACCAAACTGACATCAAGTTTGATATGTGACCTTGAATTAAGGCGATGCCTACCATAGTCATGTGCAACATGGAGGCATTAATTTAATAACGGATCGGACAAACTTCTGCAAACAAAAAATACTGTGTAACACGAATAGATAATGTATCTTAACTTGGAAGCAACTATTTCAAAGTTACTTAATTATTTTGCACTGCCAAAACGTCATCCTTTAGGTGCAGTTACAAGCATTATCGAATTTTGATTCCTTAATATTTTTTAAAATGACAGAGATATGCAATATATAATTGTTTACTTGGATCCTATTTAACTTAAGTTTTATCTAATGTGATATGTCCAGAAATTAACCTATTTTCGATAGAGGAAAACACATTTTCCTTCTTACCTAAAGATATGGTATACTCTGAAAATTTCATATGATGAAACCTCAAATCTTGCGGGGGACAAGGGTGATTAAGTTAAAAATGCAGCTTGGCGACGGCGTCAGCTCCAGACAACAATGCTTGAGCAAGAGGCCAACAACCCTTTGCAGAAACAATTAGGCATGCGCATTAAAAACGTGTCTCGCACAAAAAAGCGTGATCGCGGTCACGTGAGTTTATGGGAGGTCTTTTGATCATAAATATTCATGAATTATGCTCAGCCTCAAGTGTATAATGCATGATATATGTATTTCGATATGAGTTAAAATCCATGATAATTTTCCCCGTGAAGTTAATTTTGGTATAAAATCATGAACCACATTTTCAGCTTTAAATCACATTGTGAAAAATGCCTGTGGACAATATAGTTATATACACATTACTTTGCATGTACTATGCAACTGTAATTTTATCATATGCTGTGCACTTAAAACATATACAGGATCTTTTTTTCCGATTTTTTCTTTGATATAATAAACACTTTGCTTGTTAAGACGCCTTTAAAACGAATAAAAGCAACAATTAATTTCTATGAATAATTTCTGGTACCGTAAAAACAATCGTAATTTCTTTTTTTGTACTTGATTAGTATGCTTGAAATTCTGCAGATTTTGCCAAGAATACTTATTTCATGGAGCCGTCAGCAAATATAACCTATCATTTGGTAGTATTTTGGCTGACGTTTTCCATATCAATTGTTTCTGTACTATAAATTTGACTACGGAAAGTTCCGTCTATTTGATCAATACTTAGAGCTCTCGGCGGGCGTGACCAGTCGACAGGGGATACTTACTCCTCCTAAGCACCTGAACATACCTCTGGAATTTTCGAAAGGGGGGGGGGTCCGTGTTTTATGCCCTGCCCACAGATTTGTATTGTTTGTGGATTTTTTTAGATTGAACACTGTTCTTCACCTTTTTCATTTAATTTGTTCATTCTTAAATACCTTAATTTGAAACAAACAGTAAAATTCAGATTATTGTAGACATTAACCTAACATTAATACATTGATAAACAAAACAAAATTATAAAATATTACCAAGGAAGGTTGGATTATGCATAGGGAATTTGTTGATTTTCGCACAGTCCAAAATAAGACAAAGATTTTCTTATGCAATTAAGAATAAAATTCTAAATTCCTCTTGTGTTTTATTATTGCATTTATTAACAGTACTGATACTTACCTCATTGTGATTATATATTTTGTTTACTTGACCTACTTTAATTTTCAATTGCATGTTAATCTGACTGGGTCATTTTTCACAAAGGACAAAACGAATTTAGATAAACTGAATTACACAAGCAAAACGATTTTTCACCAGGAGGGACCATTAAATACATTTGTATGAAACAGACTGGACGGGGAATACATTTCGGGGACAAAATATTGTCAATAAATATGTGTTTCATATAATTTGGAAGGAATTAGCTCAGCATTGGGAGCTAGAGGGTTGTCTCGGCTTTCTTGTGATATTAGTGTAATTTTCTGTATGTGTAATAAGATGGTTCCTCAAGATGCATTATAAATGACATTTTATGATGGTAATGGTATATTTGCATCTTTGACCTTTCTGATCCATAATTAGGTAAATCTATGCTGCTTTGATCTATATATATATATATATATATATATATATATATATATATATATATATATATATATATATATATATATATATATATATATATATATATATATATATATATATATATATATATAAAATAAAGAGAGAGAGAGATTTTGTTTTTTATTCCTCTCTTCAACGTATACTGTTCTATAACAGTAAAATTAAATGAGAACCATATATGACAATACTTACATTTACAAATATTTTCTCCTATGCTTCTATATAAATTGTTCATCTTCTCATGAACTAGCATGAATGAGCATGAATATCTTGTAGTTGACGTCAAAACTACAGTGCAAACTGCTTTGTTTCAAAATGATAGTTGAATGACAAAAATTTGTGGCAATAAATTTAATTTTTGAAAACTCATGAGATACATGAACTACGTTTCACGCCTGCATTTATAAATATGCAGGCGTGAAGCTTCGTAGTTCATGTCCTCCTGAATGTTCAAAAATTAAATTCATTTCTTAAATGGCGCTTTGATGAATCTTTTTAAAAAAAAAAAAAC